CTTCCGATCTATATATATATATATATATATATATTTGCATGTTAGTTATTTACAACATATTTATCATAAACAAGTGAAACGATACATATAAGAATAGTTACGTGATACCCTAAGAAAAAAATAGAATTATTAATGAAATAATTAAAATGTAATTTTAGAAAAAATTGTCGATAAATTTTTGGTAATTTCAAAATTAGTAATGAAAAAATTGATTTTGTCACTGATTCTTTGATTTTTTTTTTTTAGTATGGTAATCTTTTACTTCAAGTATGTTTCTTCCTTTTGAGTTTTATTTTTATTTTTTGTATTATATGTGCATAAATGGGTATTATCAATGTTAAAAGGAATGTTAGTTTGGTGATTAACTGCCCTAAGCATAAGGGTCTCTCGTCCAGCCTGGGCAATGATTCAACTTCTTTTTTTTTTTTTTTTGATATTATGATTCAACCTAATTATTGTTGCTGTCACCCTCTGGTTATCTTCATACATGAAATTTATTTTATTTTTCCTTTTAATCAAAATGTGGACCAATGTACTATTAATTAGCTCATCCTAAGTTCCAAGCTAGCATACCTTTCTTGTTTCATATTATATAAATATAATACGAGGGAATGGGGACTACCATGAATCATGATGGTGGTATTTCTATCACTTCAAAAAACTTCTTTTCATGACAGATATTTGTATGTCCTTTTTTTGTGAAAGAAATTAGGTAATGATGTGTACAACTCATCATTGATGAAACGAATAAGGTCCATATATGCTTACATAATTTTTTGTCTAAAATAAATATAAAAAAATATCAACCAATTAATGGATCATAAAATTCTGGTTGAAAGCGTGTGAAAATTAGACGGTACGTCGAGTCTGCTAAGTACAAATTCGGTGATCAGATCTCTCCATCGCCCCTTGTTTTTAATGATCAGATTACGTGTTTTTTTCATTCATTTTTTTTATAAAAATAAATCAATTCTAAGAATGCAAGAGATCTCAAAGTCCCAAAATTTATAAAATACTTTTCTGATTTATTTTTTCAAACAAATAGATCGATATTTTTGTTCTTGAAATTTTCTGATTCCTAAAAGTAAAGAAACTCAAATAATTTTATAAAACTTTTTTAGGGTTTCATTTAAATTTTTAAAACAATTTTTAGGGTTTCATTTTGTTCTTAAGCATATGTTATTGTTATCTCTTAAAATCCTTTGACTAGGGACCAAAATGAAAACAATGGTTAATTTAAATAAAATTCAAAAAATTAAAGTTCTGTTTAATTTTTTTTTTAAGTTCAGATATTAATATGATGGCTGAAATACAATTTCGGAGACTATATATTTAATTTTTTGAGTTTTTTCAAACTCATTTCATTTCATAATTCAAATACATAATTGTGTTTCCGTTTATTTTGTTATATATGTTTGTAATTGTACTGAAAATTTGACATGTATATTATTGAACTATTATGTGGCTGCATGGCTTTTTCAATTTTATACACATTAACTAGCTATATATGTGCTGGCTGGCTCTTTTATTGTCTTCATAATTAATTTCTTCATATATAGAGGGTTCAAGAAAGTTCAAACTTGAGAGAAAAGGTCAAGAAGTAAAATCTCTTGCGATTTGGACCAGCATTATTTGGATTCATACAAAAACTTTACATCACAAATCAAAAGAAAAAGAAAAGTAAAAAATTCACATTTTTGTTCTTTTCCTTTTCCTTAATATTTTTAATGAGATGGTAAGTGTAACTGCAAATTTTGGAATGTAGTGTTGGTGTGCTGGCAAGATGCATAGTGTAGAGGATGAAGCTTCGTGGCACTGAGGTTTCAGGCACCGACCACAACACCATACTCAATCAAATACCTCCTACCAACATTAGTTAATACTATATTTCTTAATTAATATATTCAAAATTTAAATCTTGATTTTAAATATATATAATAAATTATATTAAAAGAAAAATATTCATTATATATATATATATTTATAATCCTCACAAAAATTAATTATTACTTTTATTAGTAAATATTTCATATCTTACCATCATTATAATAAATAAATAAATAAATAAATAACACTTCTCATAAACTATTGTGGTAGTTAAAGGAACGCACGAGGCATGCCATATACAAGATTCCTAGCTATTAAATCTAACAGAAAGAAAGAGATGAGAGCCTTAATTTGAGGTGGTAATCCATTATTGAACAACGTGAGCTTAGTCTGTCTCTTCACTAAAGCCAAGGTGGAAACCCTATTAATTTATCATCCACGCTATTTTTATCTTTTGTCCAAGTCTGAATAAGTGTGCTTAAGTAACTAGCATTGATGTATAAATGATGAATAATAATCATTTATTTCATTATATTATAATATCCTTCAAATTAACGCTTTTGTGATACTACTATAATAAGGGTGGAGTACTCTCAAATATTTCATTTCATCTTAAAGACCTTGATTGAGAAAAGAGAATGTCGAACTTACACTCACACCAAACAATATTTGGTAC